CTAAAAAATTAAAATTTACGCACTTTTTACCTAGTAGTGGAACTCTTTTGACACTACTATAGTTAAAGACGATTTTCATAATTGATTCTCTTAAAGAAAAGTTCATTATCTTATTAAATAGAACATAAGAGAAAATTTTCTTCTTTTAAATATAATTACTTTTAGCATTTAAATAACATCTCTAAAGTCACTTATTCATTTTATTGCAAATAATTTATCAATTTCCACGGAAAACATAAAAAAAGACAGCAACCATTCATTATAAATTCAAAAGAAATTTATTGACTCCATAAACAATATATTTTATCTTCTTATCAAATTTATATTAAAAAAAATCGCCCAATTACTTGAATTTAATGAAAAGAAAAATCATGAATAATGTCAATCGTAGGTTGATTAATTTTTTCTTTTAGTAATCAATAGATATTCATAAATATAATTTCCTTTTTACTATCGAACAAAAGACATACTCAGTTCTAGCACATGTGTAATGAATATGAATATTTCTAAGATAAAAGAAGATATTTTTTTCGTCATAAGAATGTAAGTTGACTATTTATAACGATGAAAATTCGTTGCAAACAGAAAAAAAAGTCAGTTTGATATTTATGAATAAATCAACATCGTTAACTTAAATTATATGTTTTTTATTGAAAAAATTTAAAGTTATCGAACTTTTTTTTTTGTTCTTGTGTTAGACTTCTGTCACGTCTTGACTCTCATGAGATCGGAGAACAAGACGTGTATGGTCTCTAAACGACAGAATGATGACTTTTTTCTTGCTTTCTTTTTGTCTTGTTTTTTTTTAGTTGCTGCAACATTTCGAAATTCCCATTAGAAATGTCTTCGAATAAAATATTAATTATCAAAAAAAAAATCAGTAGAATTCTCAAGGTTTTTTTCTCTAGGTAAAATAATTTGAATATTTTCACATAAAAAATGCATCAAATAATATATTAAACATTACATATATACGTGCATATACATATATGTACATGTACGGATAAAAATAAACGTAAAAAACACGAGCAATTATCAATAAATCTCTAAATGGAAAAAAAATTAGTAAGTCGTATTTTACTTTCAATTACGAATATAAGTTGTCTGGGAAACATTTAATGATTAAGCTGAATGTGTCATGATGTGTATGTCTTTTGTTTATGGTGTCTAAGTTGATCAGAAGCTATTCATAGATGTACTTGATGATTTTACGCCATTCCTAAACGTCATAATATCTCAATGTTGAACATTTTTTTTTGTTTTGTTTTTAAGAAATAATTTTATTGTGTGTATATATATGTAAAAAGTTTGTTTTCCTTCTTTTTTAATGTATGCAGGCTTTTTTCATTTTTTGTTTTCTACATCAAACATACGATGCCGACGACACATGAATAAGACAAACAGTTGAAGAAGAAAATGAACAAACAGCTAATAAGAGAAACTGATTACAATCAACACACACACACACACACACACAGAAAAAGAAAAAAGTTGACATTGACAAACGAATAAAAATATAAAGAAAAAAAACGAGTATATGTTGATAGTGATGTTAATAGAGAAAGAAAAAATGTCTTTTTTAGGTTTTTGTCAATTTGGTTTGATGACCGGTTGTGTGTATGTGTGTTGTACACAGACAAAAAAAAAACAGAACATGAAACAATTACTGATGTTCTTCAACTGGATTTGGATCATCTGGATCGGGTGCATCGCTTGTCCATAACTAAACAAGAATTCAAAATTTATTTTCATTAACAAAATAACTAAATATTTCTTACCGTAAGATTATCCCGGAGTAATTGCATGATAAGTGTACTATCTATAAAACAAATCAATATGTCTTTTTTTATTTTATGATTATTCATTTATATGACTAACCCTTGTATGAGTCTTCATTAAGTGTATCAAGTTCAGCAATAGCATCATCAAAAGCCTGTTTAGCCAAATGACAAGCACGATCAGGTGCATTGAGAATTTCATAATAAAATACAGAGAAGTTCAAAGCAAGACCAAGACGGATTGGATGTGTTGGTTGCATTTGACTTTTAGCAATATCAAATGCATCATTATAAGCACGTTGTGATTCATCAATAACTTCTATTAAAAAGGAAAGAAAATAAATTTAAATTATTCGTTCTTTCTTAAATATTTTTTTTTTCAACATACTATTACGTTCATCGCCCGTTGCAACTTCGGCTAAATATCGATAATAATCGCCTTTCATTTTTAAATAAAATACTTTTGATTCAGCCGTAGTTGCTTTTGGTATAAGAAATTTATCAAGTAAAGACTAGAAAAACATATGAAATTAATGATAAATAAATAAATAAATAAATAAATATTTGTTTTCTTTTATTTACCAAAACTTCCTGACAAATATCTTTTAGTTCTTTTTCAATTTTTTCCCGATAATCTTTAGACATTTGTTGTTTTCGTTCTGAACCTTCAGTTTTTTGTTCAATACTTGAAATAACACGCCATGATGAACGACGTGCGCCAACAACATTTTTATATGCAACCGAGAGTAAATTACGTTCTTCATTTGTTAATTCATTGTTCGATTCAGTAACCTTTTTCATAGCATTAGCCATATCGTCATATCTAAATGAAATTATTTTTTATTACTATAAAAACGAATTCAAATAAATCATACCGTTCGGCTTGTTCAGCCAATTTGGCACGTTGTACTTCGTCGTCCTTGTTCGACATGATTGTTGATTGTTTGGATTGGTAAGAAAAAAAAATTTACTAGTGAACAGAGACAAATAGATCTGTAAAATAGGACAACTGAAAATATGTCAGTTATATATATACGAAAATTTTGTCAGATGAGAAAGGAAGAGAGAGAGAGAGGGAGAGAGAGAAAGAGCGGAAAAAAATACAATGTACAATTGAGAAAGTTCGATGCTTGCCTGTTCTCAGAATGCGTCAGGCAGAGAAGGCGTAGGCATAGGGCAAGGATGCGTGTATGTGAGCAAAAGATAGACTAAAAGTATTTATTTGCTTCTCTTTCTCTCTTTCTCTTGCTCGGACGCATATATCGGCAGTAGTAGCGAGCAAGTAGCGCTAGGCATAGAGAGGATAGGATGCTTGCATTGATTAGTCACTCAGACAAACAGAACGAACATCGGACGGCGAACAATTTATGCTATACAAGGCAGCGTCATTGCCTAGCAACCGGCCAAGACAGAAACGAACGAGATTTAATAATAGATGTCGCCATTAAAAAAATTTTTATTGCCGAGCTATAAATAGTTCATAATTGAGCGCATGTAACCTCTTATTCATTATTGTCTACAACCGGATATACATACTTCAGTTTGAAGAAGTTCTTTCATTAAAAAGTATAAAAAATACTAATGATTTGATAAGCTGAAATAAGGTACAAAAGGAAAGTTCAATTAAATTTTTGTTTTTCATTATTATAAAACTATTGATGATCGATTAGTATTAATATTTAATTAATTTTTGTAGCTGTGTTTTAATCTATTAAAGAATTTGATTTGCTATAATTCATGTTTAGATAAACTTACTAATACGATGCATAAAGCATAAAATTATTTTCTGCATTGAAAAAACATACTTTCTAGTTGTTCTTCATGCATAAACAATTTGTCTTTTGCTTTATTAGTATTCTAGATCGTAGTATATTGAGATTTCTTTATTTCCTTTTTTGGTTTTAAGAAAATAAAATCATTGAATTTATTTGGTTCGATTTAATAAAACAGACAAAAGATATTATTAAATTAAAAATATAATTTCATAACATGAACTAGATGAATAGATTCAAAGAAAGCAATATTATTTTGGTTGATAGATGTTTTTTTTGCTATCAAAGTGAATCATTAATAATAGTCATCGATAAGTAAATGATTAATTATGAATGATGTGCCCCTCAGATTTGGAATTTCTTTTTTTTTTCTTACTTTAAGCATAATTTGCACTTCGATTCATTCTATTTTATATTCCTGTATTTCAATTATTTCGGTCAAATGATACTGAAAGGTTAGATGCAACTAAGCTTGATTTATCGCATAGAAAAAAAGAATATAATATAAATAGTATATATATATTTGGAATGATGACGCCTTATTTTCTATTTATATCACAACTACGAGCATGCAAAAAAAGAAATGAAATTTGATAGCACAAGATTGTTCCATATAATAAGAAAGAATTTCTTCTGTCACTTTTAATTAAAAATATTCTATGAGCATGTTAGGTTTTTTCCATGAATACATGAATGACATACTATTTGCTTATATTTTTTACGTTGGCACATCTAGAAAATTATTTATAGAACACAACGTATATTTTATGACTAGTACTTTCTAGTAATCTAGAGCTAACGTGTCGTTCAATTAAGAAAAAAAAAATAATAGATTAACAAAATAATCCAGGTGATCAAAAACACTGCAGAGATTAATTTTAAATACAGCTTATTAATATTACACTAGTAAGAAAAATTCCGGATATCATGTCATCTTATTCATTAAAACTGGATATATTAATGTGTTACATTTTCCATATAAAAATTCGAATTATTTATTATAAAGAAAATATCAATGAACTCATTAATATTTTCCAAATTATATTTTTATAGCTTGCAATATTCATATCTGAGTACAGATAAATTTCTTTTTTTTTTCTTTATGTAATTTTATTTTTCAAACAGTGAAACATTAACAACCCATACTCATGAATAGATAGTTGAAAACTGCTAGGTTGTCTTTTGTTTGTTTTTCTTTTTTAGAAAGGAGAGAAAGAAAGAAAGTGAGAGAGAGAGAGAGAAATAAAAACAAGATCACGTTTTAGTAACGAAAATTTGAAAGAAAAAACTATAACAGTTGGAGAAAAAAGCTTTATAAACTGTTAAGAAGTTTCGATGAATGATAAATTTAAACAATTACAGTTTTTTCTTTCAATTCATGCAAACAAAACAAACGAGCAATATAAAGTCATCATTATAGCGAAAAATCAACATATATCACAGATTAATTTTAACATAATGAATCATTTGTTTCATCTTTTATTGTTGTATTTATTGTTGATGGATCATTTTCACCAAAATCAATCGCTTCATTATTTGATATTGATAATGATAAACTATTTTCAGTAACATTTGTTATATCGTTCGATTGATTATTGTTATTTTCAATTTGTTGAACATCAATTTGTGGTGTTGTTTGTTCATCAATATTAACTGAATCGGATGAATTTGGTAATATTATTTCATTAGTATCTGACTCTTGCTAAATAAAAAATTCAAACAGATATTCAGTACTATTAATTATTATTTTTCAAAAAAAGGAATAGAAAATAATAACGGCATTTAGAAACGATTCGTCTTACTTACAGGCAAAAACTTGCGTGAGACAGACGTATCCATAATTATAATCAAGCAAAAATACTCCTTTCGTCAAAATTATTTTAAGCCTCAATTAGAGTCTATCGGGTGCAAAATTTTCCATCGGTACATTGATGCTCTCAATGAAATTTCTATATCGGTATCGGATAACTGCCCCGAGGATACGAGATACCTTTTTGTCGGCTTTTTTTGTATTCGATGACTAACGCATCCTACACATCTCTCAGATGACTAGAACTCATCGGATCTAAAATTTCCAAACTTGAACTCGGTTCATTCCGGAACCAACACGACTGGCTCTAGTCTCTACCCCTCAAAAGCCGAGATCGTGCAAAATATATTCAAATCACCTCAAATTTTCAGCCCTATACTATGATATTTGAGAGAGATATTTAGTAAGCAAAAGTAAAAAGAAATTGCTTGTTTGGCAATCTGAAGCTCTGTGGACCCGTACTGTCTAAATAAATTCTTTTTATTATGTAAAAGAATATGTCAAGATGCAGGACGTGTTAGCGTCGGTCTTTTTAAATCATTTTTATTGAGATGAAAAGAGAGTCAAGTGCAATGCCTTGATAAAAGCTTTCTAACAAAAGGAATTTATTTATAGAAGTGCTTGTATATATATATTCTAAAAATAATGCTTAATTAGAAAGGAATTAGTCATGTCTTGAATCTTGCAATACTTTGTCAAACAAAAAGAACAACACTAATAGAGAAGCAATCAAAAAAGATTTTAAAGATTGTTTGATTATTTAACCCTTTGGCTATGAGAGTATCATATATGATACCTGATTGTTAGCAGTTGATGTCTTTGTAAGTAATTAGCTCGTCTTTTGTCTCTCTTGTTCTGTCTGTTATCATTATCATATTCTATGTGATTGTTTCAAAGATTTCCATACGCTATAAAACTTTTCACAAGATAAATATCTGTTGTAATTTTTGAAACATTTTCGTAAAATTATATCCGAAAAATTAAATCCTGAACCAAAAGGTTAATTTCTTTTGAATATTTGAGAAAATTTGTTAAGACATCTTTAGAATGCATTTAAACCCCAATATTTTCAATATGAATATCACAAAATCAATTTTTTACGGAAGAAGATATGATACATATAGTCGCATCAAGCCGCTCCCTGCTCTCCACTCAGAAACTCTCATTTTTGTCAAAAATATCGGTTTTCCTATATGCTTTATAAAGAAAAAGAAACATTGAGTTCTTGACACTCAAAACTTATTAAGCCCTGTTCTCTACAAAGCTCGAAAAGGTCTCAAATTGATGAGAAAATTACGCTCTGCAACTTAACATAGGCAAAATTTTCAAATTCTTCAATGTAAGGTTTCACTTGAAGTAAAGAAATAAAATTTTGAAAAAGCAAACCATTTTAGGTTGTTGTAGTGACAGGTGTTAGCTACATTTTAACACAAACCCGAAATCTGCGTTCGTTAGATTTCGAGAAGAAATCACGAAGACACGTTTTTATTCTTGATATCATGATATATCTAGAACAGTTCCATATTTTGGTCTGAAAACCTTTACTATGAGCTACATACATTCGTAAACATATTCCATCAAAATTTCAGCCAGTTCTTTTGTTCTGGTACAAAAATAGATTTTTGAGAGGGAGCGGCTTGATGCGACTATATGTATCATATCTTCTTCCGTAAAAAATTGATTTTGTGATATTCATATTGAAAATATTGGGGTTTAAATGCATTCTAAAGATGTCTTAACAAATTTTCTCAAATATTCAAAAGAAATTAACCNAAAAACCGCTTATCTCTAGAAACCCAATACATATTCTAAAAGAGGAGGCTCAGGTGCATCTTCCTTCAATAAAAACTCAATTTGAACATTTTTTGCAAAAACATGATTTTCAGAGGGGAGGGTGGCCTTAACCTTGATTACGTTTGGCCAAACTTTATAAAAATCCATGATTTTTACGAAATTCCTTTTCCTACGGTGAATTTGTAAAGCTTCTATTAAAAGTGAAAGGAATGCATGTTGCGTTCCCGTTCCCCGTTCCTAGGAACGGGGAACGCTAAACATCCAAGCATAAAAAGACAAGCGAACATGTCTAGAAACCTCGCCATGTTGAAATAAAACTCAAAACTGCGATTTTGAGATACGTTCCCCATTCCTGGTGTTAACTTCAGCTAATATTCTGTTTATATTATTTGTTGCTTTTTCAAAACAACACGAAAGAAAAACCGAACTGAACTGTCCACGCACTTAGCAACACACTCATTAAGATCTCTTTTTTTCAAAACAGCGCCTTCATTCACTAACACTGGGAACGGAACGCAAAACTGACACCCCTAGATAAAACCTTCACTTTTTAACAGTAAATCATGATGAAGTGATACATTCAACTATCTTGCTACTGCGTATAACTGAGTTCTTCTTTTAATGATGGGTGGTACTCGTTAATAATGTAGTTGTTTAAGATAATTTTGATTTGTATTTTACAGATAATATTCATTTGTATATGCAATATAGATTTGGTAATTATTCATACAGCTATAGATGAAATATAAGTCATAATACAATAGAGCGGTCAATATTCGTTAAAAGTGATTCTTTTCAGAAATTATTGAGTTTTTTGCTAATACTAAAAACATCCAAGTTCTAATGTATTGATCGAATATCCTCAGAATACTTACAACAAAATAATAGTTAAATGAAAAAATAAATATACAGTGAAGAAGGTATAAGCGCTGGAAAAGCAAAAAAATGGTTCGAGACATTCATCATAAACGAATCAAAGCTTCAACTCAGACGAACAAGCTCAACCAATACAAACAAAAGACAGAAAACACTACTTATAAACAGCAAATCACTACAAACAACATGTGACTTTCCGACACATGCAGCATAAGAACAAGAATTTCTTTTCCAAATTAAAATTGTTAGACTTTCACATTTTCATGACGTTATATCAAAACTGATTCTACTATTCATTTCAAAATTTATTGAGCTCTCGTGCTTTTGATTAACTTTTAATAGAAACAAGATAGAGAGCTGCACTTTTCAGCATTTAAGAGAGAAAATCCGAGCCATCGTACTATATCTAAACTCGATTGATTTGCAATTGACTAATCAGATGAGTTTTTGATGAAGATTGTCAAAATCAGTATTCTAAAGCTACTTTCCTTCTGATTTACACTTTTAATAGTGCCAGTCCATAGAAAAAAGATTCTTCTATTGACAGCTGCGCAAGCCTGACATTCGTAGCTTGTCTCGTCCGACAGGTGCAACTATTTTCTTGAAATCCTCTACTTTTCAGCTAATTGACGTGTGATTATCCAGAACCGCAGCTAGACAGAGTTAATTTACAGTTGTGAGACGAGTGGTGATATTTGTTTTTTGGGTTTGAACTTATCTGACACTGTTATCTCAATATTATTGACATATCGACTGCGTCGTTAGGTGCAGATCGATTATGAAAGAGATGACAGAGTCAAAAGATTTCGAATCTAAAAACAAATACTACAATTCTACTCAGCACAATGAGTTCTACCTCGAGCACATTCCTTTTTTGGATGCTCATGGGTCAGCTGGTTAAAATCGACAATCTAAGGGAAAGCATTATAATTCCTGAACGGAAAACGAGTTAGAAATGTCGGCCTTGCACAAATCGAAAGAAAAGAAATTTTTCTATGAACTAGCCGTATTAAAAGCATAAATAAAAATGGAAGCAGCTTTAGAATATAGATTTTGAAAGTTCCCACTATGAGCTTCCTTGGCTGTTTAACTGTTGTTCAATGATGGCGTCGAATCTTCTATATTCAATGGTAAAAATCGAAGATCTCTATGATATTCTTATCAAAAGTTATTCAAAAACTTGGCACAGTCTATCTTTTACAATGGGTACTGATAGAAAAGCAAAACTAAGGGCGGTTGTGATGCGGAAGAGCGGCACAAGACAATCCACACTAACAGCAACCTGTATTTTTTACTATTACTTGGTTCTTTCTTTTATTGGAATAATAGAAAGTTTAAAAAAAATAATGTTCATTCAAGGTCTGTGTATTGATGATTGCATTGTGACAGGTTGTATGAATAACTATTGATTACTTCGTCGAAAAAACCAAGTGTCAGTATCACAACCTTGATAACCTATACTCATATCAATGCTTCCATGTAATTGCCAACCGAACGATGTAAAACAGTCAAGTAAAGCGAGAAGTTTCATTCGACTAGTAACCGCTTCGTCTCCATTACCTACCCATGGATAACCGCGCCTACAAGAAAAAATTCATGCGAACTACGTTATAGATAATAATAATATTATACAATTTAAATTGATAGGCTGCTTGTGAATAAACCCATTCTTCGCGCTGTATTTCATCTATACCAATAGTTTGTTGAACTGCACGTATGAGTTCATGTGGAGCACCAATCAAACGTAATTTATCTCCTTCATTAAAAGAAACAGCGAAAAATGATGTTGCCGGTTGAGGAGCGCCGAGTTGAAAGATCAATGAATCTTTATCTTGCTGTTTTTTGGAAACATCAGTTGACATCAAAAGATACCAACCATGATGATGTAAAGCTGAAAGAATCGATAACCTATGCATAAATATACGATCAACATTAAATTCATTTGACAAAAAGCATACATCATAACTCGACACTCTACTGCTTGGTTTCCTTGACCGTGCCAAGGAGTTCCATATAATTTGAATTCATATGCACCCGCATATTGTTTTTCTCCTTGTATACCATGAGGCCAACTATAGAGAATAGCTTGTCGAATAACATCGATAATCGTTGCTGGAAATAGAATAAGTCGTAGACGATCAGTCCAATTAAGTGTAAGACATGCATGTTGATGAAGTGAATAAGCTGGTGGCAACTCATTAGCAACAGTGGTACCGATTATGTTCAGTTCATTTTTCGACATTTTGTTGAGTTAATAATGTATGAAATAAAGGTTTGGCAAAAAGTGTTTTGTTAAATGTAATACGAAGCGAAAAAGGAAAAAAATCTGCATATCAAGTTCCATGGTAAAACTTGGAATATATCTGAGAAAGACAGACACCTCTCATTGGTTTATGTTTTATTGTATTTCACTTATCAGAAGTCGGTAGAGTACTGAGTATCAAGAGGAATTTTTGAACAGATTAATCGCTTTTCAGTCGAGATTGTTTATATAATGTAAACAAAATAAGTTATAAATATTTTCGAAAAAGTTCGTGCTCTTGTCATCTTTTGAAGTTTCACATAGAAACAGGCCTTAATAAGAATAGTATTTTTGTGAAGTTTTCAGCTCTTTTCGTTTGTTTCTATCCTGAAAAAGAATAAAATCGGCCGACTCATATGAACGATGTAAAAGACACCCTATTATCATTGTCGTATCATAGGGTAGGAACAGCAACAAGACTTGAAACATTCACAACAATCTATTCTCATAAAGACTTATTTCTATAAAAAGTTTCAAGTCGAAATTGGAAAATCAGTTTTTTTTTCGGTGATCCTAGAGGGATCATGATATTCTTTTTTTAAAAATACTGTCAAATTACAGTGTCGCCGCAGCATATTTGGTATCGATTGGATTTTTATTCAGCTAGACTGGAGCAACCGATTGGAATTTACGACCCAAGTCAAAAAATCAGATGCTAAAGTCAATCATAGATTCTTGTAAGTTCCTATCAGATCTTTCAGTAATATCGTGCATGATCACATATGATCATACGAAAAACCATACGAAAAATCTTCGTCTCTGCAATCTTACATCAGATCTTACATTAAGGTCCACATATGAACGAACATTTCGATCTTGTACGATTATAGAAGATCATATAGTAAGATGACAACAGATTTTTTTACAGCTAGACATTACTCACATTATTGATATTGTTGAATCTTGATATGTTAAATATAATTCAAATTGATTCCATACCGTAAAAAGAATTTTCATTTGGAAAGATATTCACCGGTACAGAATCGGAAAGTTTTTGTTAAATAATCAAGCCAATAAAGCAACACTCAAACAAAGTTATAAATTAAAAAAATCTTTTCTATATTTCCAATATAGAAAAATCAAAATATATGTCCATGCATATTGTAGTATAAATGTAAAATAATATATTATTCCCTATGTTATCAATATAGAAAAGAAAACTAATAAAACAAAATGCCTTCTATATTATATATATATATAGAAAAATAACAAATAAAAAAAATATTATTTTCTATATTATCAATATAGAAAGAAACCAAATGAAATAAAATAATTTCTGTATTATTGATATCAATATAGAAATAATAAGCAATACGCAAATATGTTCCAGCACATTGTAGAGGATAAATAAAAAAAAATTAATTTATCATGTCCTGATAGTCTTAGAAAAACTTGGACATGAATATTTTTTCCGTCGAAATATTTTGTGAAGAAAAATATACTCTACTATGTGAAAATTCCCTAGATATATCTGTACTTTGACTAATCTATTATACAAAGCATTTATTTGTGAAGTAAAAAATGATTCTACGATTGCAATAATATAAAACATTGACTTGCGCAGCACAATTTTGTGCATTTTTTTACATTTCTTTATAAGAAAAACTATGAAATCAACAATTCTCGAGTAGGTAAAGAATACGACAGATAATACGAGTAGATGCCTAAGTGGAGCTCGAATATAAATGAAAAATTCAAAAAAGATCGCTTCCATGCTCTGACACCACAAAAGCAAAAGAAAAAACAAATTCTAGTCCATCGATTAATCAACATTATAAACCCAAATGCACACCCGTGTTAAAATAGCAAAAAAAAAGCAAAAGAAGAAGTTTATATAAATTATACACTTATAAATGAAAAGTTGAGTGATGTACAACTCGAAACTTCAATTCAAATGAGATTTGAACTTTTAACTTTCAACTTCAAAGGTGTTCTGGAATGCTGCAACTATCTCCGCGTATGCTACAGGTATCTTCTAGAATGCAAGAGGTGTTATCTGTGATGCTTGAAATAGTGCCTATGGTGCAAAGGTTTTTATCTGTGATGCTACAGCCATGGCCTGGGACGCTATAGAAACCGGCTCAGACACTTGAGTGAAAATGGCAAGCCAGCATCTGTAAGCGAACGGGTTGCATGGTGAAGTAGCTTCGGAAATGATGCAGCCGGCATGGCCTAAACATGACACATCTCAAATACTGTGCACACAGAGACGAGCATGGGTCACGGCTGTTCGGGAGGCGCTTTGCGCCCTCACATCGCGATGTTGAGATAAAAGGTCAGTTATGCGGGGAAAACCCGTTTTGGGCAGTTGAGTATTGGGTGTGTCGTACGAGAATTAGCACCTGCATTATTTCAATTAGAGGAACGGATTGCCAATGTGTTACCATTAGGTTAGCATTATTTCCCATTCTCATACATGTGCCCAACGTATGCTTTAGACGTAGTAAGTTTCAAGTTGCATGAAAAGTTTTGAGGGTCAGGGCAAAACAATTTCAATCTCACAGAGACGGGTGACAGTCAACATAAAGGGGTTGCGATCACACATTGAAGTATTTAACAGGATGTCAGCTAAAAGTTTCAAGCGATACAGAATATCATGTGAATAACAGTAATATATATATATATATATAATCTCACATAGAGATCTGTAGGTAGAGATCTGCAAATTGACATTTTTCAGCGCCGGTCTCGGTCCTGATTATGGCTCAAACTTTCTGTTTTCACATACATCAAAACTTAGAATTGATTATTCTTCAGGTTATATACATCTTTCATAAATGTTGGCTGGCACACTACTATTTGAGAGTGAAAGAAATGTCTACTATCTGAAGAAGTACCTCTTAATTGGCAAGATTAGAACTTTCATTTTTAGGACTAGCTTCGCAACAAATATACATGAATAAAACAAAAAAGATGGTGTGGGTGGATATAGGTGCGGATGTAATGTTAGGAAATGTGCGCATCTACACTCACACCCAGGTTTTCGCGATTTGTATTAGTTTCAAAGTAATTATTTGCATCTTTTGCATGTTTAGTTTTGGTTGACGAGCGTTGAGCATAGACTTCAAAATGTTGTCTGCTACTGGTATTCAGCAGCTAAATGTAGTCAGAAGTAGGAAAAAAAGTTTAAATAAGAGAAAACGTTCTCAGATATATTCTCAATAATCGGTTGTTTATGAGATCCAATTCAATGGATGCTGTGCTAACGAAAGAGGAGGAATACATTTAGCCAATTTCACGTTTTACGTAAGAAAACACAAAGTCAAAGCGTAGAGAGAACATGAGTAATGGGAAATAAAAGAAAAGATCTGAAGTCCGTCAAAGTATGAAAAAGTATGTTAGAATTCAACAAACCTCAAAGTCTAATTGAGTCCTTTAGAGATTCGGGAAATTCGAAGTCCCTGAAATCGCTGTTTACCTTTTGGTGATTAGACACCCGTTATATTACTTCTTCTGATTTTAAATTAACATAAAGTAAAGTGGTTCCAACTGAACATAACCTTAGAGCACGATCGAAATTAGTCTTGGTAGCTTATACATCTTTCTTTGAAGTCATATTTGCCAAGTATTTTTTCCAACAATCATTGGAAGTCACAAGATGACTTTCTGCTTGATACAAATTGATCGACAAGGTTACGATAGTTTATTACTGGTCTGCTTCTTTTGCTGAATGAAATGTAGTCAGATTTTCAAATCATCAATATTGTAATTTAAAAATGAGAGATGAATACAAAAATGAAAGCAAATATTATTAAAAGACAAGAAGCTGTCCTCTTGGTCACCACAGCAATTGTTCGTCCGTCTGAATCTGTTGCAACATCGTTGGCTAAAATAGTTTTACTTTGTACGAATGTTGACTTGTCATTGCATAAAGTGTGAGCACATGCAATCATCAAAGAGCCATAAAACTTGGAGTCGTAGATACTTACGTAAGGGAAAGAATTTGTCTTACAACCACACGATTTAAACCTTTTTCCTAGTAAATCCTAATTCTAAACACACATTTCACCAGGCCAACATGTGATTCTCTCATTGTCCATGCCGTGACATGTAACATAACTGAATGGGAGATCATTGCCAATTCTAACATCCATAGAAAACTGATCAAATACCGTGTCATCACATTTTCTTTCAAGGCGGACTTCGTATAATAGGGTGTGGGTATCCGTATCGATATGAAGAGAAGACGCACATCCACACCCCACATCCTGAAAAATTGTCCTGTTTTATTTGTGGTACCCATCAAGGAATCCTTTTAATGCTCTAATAGCCATTAATTCACTTACTTTAGAGGGAACATGATTGTTGCGCGAGCAATCGTTGATCTGCGGGAAAATCACAAACTGTGTTATTTAAAATACTGAAAAATGTATTCTAGTCATCGAAATTTCAAGGAGTGTTCTGGGATGTTCTAGGACCTTGTAATCCTTGTTATCAATATCACTCAGTAACTAAAGTGCAGGTAGCTAAGATCTGAAATGGCGGAAAGTTCTAATGTCTGTAATGAAGAAGGAGTGGAGCCGCAAATCTTCGACTTGCAAGCTACGCTAACTGATTGAATAACAATTTGTATTTCCATTGAGCAAACATTCATGATTCATGATGTCCCATAGGCTTATCGCCCGTTGGGGCCAACCGAACCGCTGTTCGGATAATTTCTTTCCATTTCCTTCGATCTTGCGTAAGGTGGAACAGGTCGTGTCCGCTGTGTCCACACCATTCTATTATATCGTCCATCCATTCTCTGCATGGACGTCCTCTTCGTGTTTTTCCGTTGATTCTTGCGAATACGGTATATTTTATCAGCCTATTATCGTTCATTCGACAGATATGGCCCAGCAACCGCAGCTTTCTTCTCTTGATGTTATCTATGATAGTCTCTTGTCTTGCTATCTGTTTCCTTATGTTTGTATTTCCTATCATATCTTTCCAGCTGATTC